GCTGCAGGGAGAGAGGAGACCTACCACAGCGCTGCTACCTCTGATCTCATTACATAGACCACTATCCCAGCATGTGATAACTTAATGACCGTGCTCCATCCCAGACACATCAAAAACACTACTTTTAACCACAGAAGACTTCTTTGAACCAGCCTGGCACAGGACGGTACAATAGTCCTTATGAGGACAAAGAGATGAGTCCCACAGCAATTACACTCGCCTTCGCTGCTGCTCTGTTGTTGCTGACTCTCTGTGTCCTGGTGTCACTTTGTCTTTGTCCCCCTTACTCCAATATTACTCAGCGTCTGCCTTCCTTCACTGCTCTTCACCACTGCACACATCTGGCTCTTTTCCCCTTGCCCCCTTTAACCTTGTTTCTCTTTGATCATGTTGCAGTCACTTAAACAACTTAACAAAAGCTCTTTGGTAACTTATGTTGGTTGCAGGGTTATGTTGGTCAGATTAAAAATAAAACGTTTTTTCCACAATTGCCAAGACACATTTCTGAAAATCTCCCACCCTTTTCTCAGAACCATGAACACAAAATATAATCTTCAACTTTATTCATAAAAGACTGTGGCAAAATCAGTCACCTCAAAACAATTGTATGTGTGCTCAAAAGCAAACCATGTTTTCAGATCATACACAAAGCCAGCCAGTATATTAACACTCAGCAATCATTACCTACTACATCAAAAAATGGAAAACAGTGTTTAGGGCAAGTAGCTACAGCGATTTAGCGTATCATTTTAAAAGTCATTTTGTCATAGATTTTCAACCGCCATACATATCAAAACTCTTCTATTGGGATGCAGAAGAAAAGTACGGTGGAGGACAAACATTTCTGAATCACTGGTTGATGCTATATCACTCAGGTATCTGGAGTCCTGTGTACATCACAGTGGAAAATGTGTTTTTTTCAAAATAGTGTATGATTCGATAAATGCGACTCTGAGCATTTGGTTAAAAAAATAGGCTTTAGTGTTTAGCAATTGTGAAAAACTATAACACATTACATTGTATACCATGACGTAAGTGGTCCACTGCCAGTTCTTTGTGGCTCTGTTTGAATAATTGCTCGACCATTCCAAGAACTAATCAGTGGATCTTCAAGACTTTGGGAATGTTTTTAGTAAGTTCACTCATGAGGATTCTGCACCTATAGCTCAAGAACGCCAGTTTCCCCTTTGGCCAAAGCTTTTCTGCTGACATCACATCGGCTCTAAACTGCTATTTTCATCACAAACCAATTGTAGTGTTGTGGAACAGATTGAACACAGTTGTTTCGAATGATCTTGACTGATTTGAGTCCCGACCACACTTACTGATAATTCTTCCAAGCCAACCATTACCAAACGTGTTATTGAGGTTGCACAAGTCTAGCCATGAAATGCCCCAGTCCTTCGCCATGGTCTGTCCACTTACACCATGCACCAGTGAATACACTGTACTACTGTGTTCCTGATAATGACTGAACTCTTGAAAGTTTCCACAGAAATGGACTCGCACAGACAACTCTACCACCTAAAAAGAACAATAGATGATTTCACAAAACCCTGGCTTTATTTTAACATTTACGTCCAATACCTATGTTTTTAAAATTTTAATCATCTACAATACCTGTGCATACCAATTTAAATAAACTACAGTACAGATCTAGGTAAATTAGGCAAGATATGTTTTGTTAAATAAAGAACTTTTTGTTTTGCCTTCCAGATTTTGTTAACTAGATTTTGTTAGTTGATTGATTGACATTATGCCTTCATTGGTTGCTTGTACCATTAGTAAGTAGGCCACATAGTAAATTGTTTTCTTTTTGTCTGTTTATATGAACGGGGGTCTGAACTGCATGTTATATTCTGAAAATGGATTCATTAATTCATTTATTTTCTGGAACTTCTAGTGGAATCACAAGCATTTTCTATAACAGGAGCAATAAGTTCCGGCGGCCACCTCACAGCCATGCCCTGTAGAGATGGGAATTGGTAAGATTTTATTGTCTCCAGTAATATTACACATTCTTCTAATCGGTCAGATTCTTTGTTGATTCACAGGTTTCGTCGATGTTTTATCATCCGAGTCTCCACCATCATTATCTATTGTTGCAAGTTTCCAGCAGTGTAGATGCATGAGATTGACGCATTTTTTTTGCAATACACAACTCTCAGAAAAAAACATGCTGGCATTAATAAGCTCAGTGGCATACAATTCCAATGGATCTACACATTTGGAACTGATTCTCAGCTGGAAATGGCTCTCGATTTCTATCCCTAGTGCCTGCTGGAATAAGGTTAGGTTAGATTGTTGGTACAGATAATAACGTTAAAAAGGATCAGGAAAGACCCCTTCAATCCCTCCCACAGGACTCTTCACCCTGCTGCAGTGTGGTACCAGAGCATCCGGAAAAAAATCCTCCAGACCTATCAACAGCTTATTTCAGGCTGTCAGACTCAACACCCTACTGCGCTTATAACACTCCACATAACGAGCAAAGACCCACGTTTTTAAAAAGCATTGGTAAAAGCATAATTTCTAGTAAACTTCTTACACTGAATCCCATCCTAAGACCAGTACATTTCACTTGTATATATGAGGTACATACAGACATTATTGTTCATTACATATCTTACAAAAATATTCAAAGTGCATTAATCTTTATTTAATTTATACACTTTTATTACCTATGGACTGCTATATAGACGAGCAGACCAACTGCATAGAGCTTTGCCTAATTAAGTGCATACTGTGAGAGTGCTGTATATAAAGTTCAGAGTGGTTCTCTGACATTTCACGAGAATAAATTAATCTTTGCTCAATGCGCAGCCAGCAGATAGTAAACCCGAGCCATAGATACAAACCCATGCAAAACAGCTTCTATGCTAACGAGGCCACAGATCGGCCATCTTGCTTTCCTTTTTTTGTGCAAGATGCATTGTTTTCTAAACCTAATCTCCCTTTTCCGCAAAACGAAAAAAGCATAACAAAAAAACATCCACAACAGATTGTCTGGGTCTTGGTTCTATAATGATGATTCTCCATGCTGTGTGACTAATATGTAAGCTTCTATAATCTCCCAGTTTAAATGCACTTACCCTCTATGTATCTGTGTGTGCAACATGTACAGTACGAGGAGGGGAGAGAGGACAAAGGAGAGGAAGAGCTGTGGGGTTAGAGTTTACATGTATCCGTGTAGTAAAAAGAGAAGGAATGTACCCTAAGTGATAATGCAGGCTGCTGCCAAGACAATGACATTAACACCCAGACTTTATCAAGGACACTGTCAGCATCTGTCTCTCTCTCTCACACACAGACACACACACATACACGCAGGCACTAAAATGTACACACATCCAGGGAGGGATAGGCTGAGAGAAAGACAGAGAGGAGGAGGAGGGCATTATCTTGATGAAACAGTGCTTGATACAGTGGCCCGAGCCAAACTGAACACAGCTCTGCTTTCTTTTAATGGAGATTACACAGTCAAGGTCCAGCCTGAGCTCATCTTGTTTAACACTGCATACAAGTTCATCACTGTGAGTGTGTGTGTGTGTGTTTGGGACAGTGTTCCTGATCTAATATGCTGCTAGCTCCTCACACAATCAGCCATCATTACTACACAACCTTTTGACCCCTGACCTGGTAGCCAATCAAATCTGCCAACCTTTGCCGACCAATGAGAGCACACATCGGTGAACCAGGGAGTGTGGTGCAGCACTACCTCGCCATTATCCCGCCGTCACAAGGTCTACAAATTACATGGCCGATGCAGGGTTTCAGTTGCAAATATTTAAGTATCTGCAGGATTTATCAGGCAGTCCTTACAGAGTCTGACAAATCTGAAATGGTCTTCCCTGCTCCCGGTCATTTTCTGTAATGCATTAGGTAGGTTCAGTCAGACAAAGACTGCTTCTGACAGCTTGGTTTTTCCTGTTATTTTTTAAAATTGGCACTAAATCTACTTCTAGATAGTGTCTAAAAGGTTCTGTCTCTTAAATTTTGTATTTTAAAAAACCTGCAGATGTCGAGACCTGAATAATTCGTAGACCTTGATCTCACGATTGCTCTACTTCTTCTTTTTTTTCTTCATATTGTCAGGCTGTTTCTTCTTTCTGTGGCATTGTATAGGTTCAGATTATACATACCTCCTTGTCTACATATTTTCTTGCCCGGTTTCCTGGCACATTCCTTGGATATTCTTTTGACTGTAAAATGAATAAAAGACTAAAGAATAACATGGAGCCCCTGGACGCGCAACGCACACAGGAGCTGGCATGCACGCAAACACATACACACACGCACGCAAAGCTGATTGACTGAAAAAGAGGGAAGAGGGGATACATAAAGACAGAGGGAAAGAATGAATCACACCAGCTCAATCAGCGCAGTATTCAGTCTACCAGTCGGCCAGCCAGTCGTTCAGCCAGTCAGCCAAATCAATCGGTGATGATCTTGACAACGACTGTCTTGTTTAATGAACTGTAGCCATTGTAGCCGAGCACAATAGGCTATGATGAGCTATAGACACGAGGGAGGGGAAGAGGAGGGAGTTCGCAGAGGAGGGCAAATAAGGTGATGAGGAGGAATAGGGGGGGGGGTGGATGAAAGAAGAGGGAGTCAGAGGATCAACAGGGTGGTGAAGGGGGAGGATAGGCTGGAAGGGATGGTAAATGGAAGATTGAGGCAGCTATGGAGTGGAATAAAGAGAATTTGCTTCAATGGATGCCACACACACACACACACACACACACACACACACACACACACACACACGCTTACTGTTCTCATTCACACACTCATGTTACTATAAGCAGTGTCATGCACATTAAACATGCACAAGGTCATGCTTTCCCTCTACTGAGACGGACAGACAGACAGAGACTGAAATGCACTCTCACATAGGTAAAACATCCCAACAAAATACTCTTCTTGTGGGTTAATTACCCGCCCCGCCCCCTGCAGTTCCCCCAATCATTCTGCCCCGAGCCCACAGGCTAACTCACCATCCTCAGTGGGGACATAGATGTTAAGATAGAGGCAGTCCTCGCTCTGGTCCTGGACATATGTGGACACCACGTCAATGCTGTTAGTGAACCACACTGGCAGCATCACATCTGGCAGGCGGCCCTCCACGATGCTCTGAGGGCACACAGGGGCAAAGTGTGTGGCGTTGCGGATCTCCGGCCACGACGCTGGTGGCTCAGGCGGCTGGAAGCGATGCTCGCCAGTGGGCGGGGCGGCATATGGGACGCCCAAAAACTGCACGACAGGACCCAGGATCTCATTGTTGAGCTCCTTCTTGACGCCGCGCAGCTTGCCGTAGGTGGTGGTGACCACCGGGTCATTCTCGTCGAGTTTCTGGGCCAACACGGCGACCGGAGAAGCCTGCAGAAGCAGCAGCAGCAGCCATATTAGAGAGGACACCCACCGGCCGGCGCTTAAGGAACCTTCAAGCCCTACGTATCCCATCATCCTGCTCCCGCTCTTGGCAGTCTGAAGTAGTCGACACCCAGTCCTCGAACTGTTCCTCCACTGGGACATAGCTGCAACTCCTTGCTTTCAACTTCTTTACTTCCTCTCTTGTCCTTTCAGAGTAAAAAAATCCTTACTTCAAATCTCTCACTTACGCCATGCAGATGCAAACACAACCACACAGTCACACTAAAATCACATTCACTCACAGGCATAAGCAAGGGGGTAACTCCGGAGCAGACAGGGGGTCGTGGTTGCTAATGATCCTTTTTAAAATCCAAGCAGTGCAAACCATCTGGTGGAAATGTAGCAGCCATCAGTTTTCTCAAGTTTGATAAATGGAAATTTGAGAAATATTCCTCACAATATGGAAAATATTCCTCAAAAAGGTCCTCTCAACAACCACTGCAATTAAGACGAAACCAGTAAAAAGACCATCTTTAAGCTCCACTTTTCAGAAGGTAGACGAGCCAGTCAGTGATGAGGGTTTTCATCGTTTTAAGGTTAGTCGACTGCCATGTACAGCAGCGGAAGCAGGAGTAGTGGTGCAGTGGTTCTCAGTGGTTTTACTCAAAGTAGTTTTGTCCGATCCGAAGTCTGTCCCCTGCAACACAGAAAGAAAGCAACAATCAGCATCCAAATGAAGAGAAGTAATAATAATCTAAATTGTCTTGCCTCCTGCAAGACATCAAAAGATCAACAACAAGCAGAAGGGCCATTTCATTTGTGTTATACCCATATGCAGTTAAAGAGGAACTTAACATCAATTAATGGCACACTGCAGTAGGTAATATTACTCAACAGCTTAACAAGCAAGGTGTCCATCACTATGCGTGATGACAGATGTTTCCTGGTTATGGTGGAGTGTGACAGCTTTTTTCTACCGTTTAATTTTATACCCTACCCTTAATGCGGAGTGCCCTCCAGAGCCACTCTGTGCTATAGTGAGTGGGTTTTTTTGGAGAGTCAGAATGCATACTAGCAGCAGCAATAAGACTTGCAGTATTGAAGCACAAGCGTTCAGAATAAAAGTGGATATTGAGACAGGTTTTTAAATGCCAATGCTGAGTGCCAACGGAGGATGTTGTTTGCCCTTTATGTAGCAAAGCAGACAGTCAAGTTGTGGAGGTCAAGGTCGGCGATGGGTGCTGTCAGACTTACAGGCAGGAGACTGGAGTTTGTCCCCAGTAACCAATTTCCCTTGACACAGGGGTCTCAAACTCAAATTGGCTTTGGGCCACTGCTGGTATTATATCATAGGAGGGCAACTATAATGTTCAAGTACAATGAGAAAGCATACCCAACAAAAGTACAAACAGCAGTTTCTGTACATTAGTATATCATTATTATATCATATTTGTTGTTTGCAGCCAAACAGTAAATGAAGGTCTGACACCTGCTCTGTTCTTATCATCCCTTTGCACACATTTGCGGTCACCTTTGAGCTTTTTCCATTATTTGCCAAAATACATTATTTTAATTGTATATGAAGGGCTAATTCAAATTGATATGAAACAACTAGAAAGAATTATGAGAAAAAAATAATCTTGCAGGTCAGATGGTAAGTTACCATGTGCAAATATTGTAGAAAGTAATAGGTTCACTCAGTCCCACACAAGGGGTCACACCAAAGTTTTTCCTAAACAGGAAATAATCTGCTCAAAATTCATCCAAATCACTCATTTTATGCAGTTACCAAGTTCACTATTTGTGTTAATCGTACAGTTTTAAACATAATATGAAATATCCATAAAATATGTCACTTACAAGTTGGGAGAAGTTTGACACGTGATGTCTGCATTAACAATCAAAGGTGATCTCTTCACTCTCAAAATAAAGCATTATGCCATATTAATGCTTTAGACTGCCTGAATTTCTTTCCTTGTAGAGCTACATTTTATATGACATTGTGAGAATAGGGTATTAGTCATGAGGAGTAGTTTGGTATATAATATAATTAAGAGAAATATGAATATGTTTCTGAAAGATTTGGGCCAGACGTCTTGGGGGAAACACACATCTTTGGCACATCCTCTATGTCAAATAAGTCTGATTGGCAGTTTCATGTATAATAATGTCACACGAGTTAATTTCTGTGTGCTGCAGCCTGGACCTTCTCCCAGCTCCACATTATTTGTTGTCAGCCTCTAGCTAGCTACAGCAGGGGAGCGGGCACTGATGTTAATTTCCTTGGTTCAGCCACCTTTGGACCAGTGGGATCAAGAAAAATATGTCAAGAAATCAGTGCTTAAACATAGCCTGTGCACAAAGAAAACAAGCTGGAACTCAAAGTAAAAATCAGTGTAAATTCAATTTTCTGAGTTGAGTCATTTTTCCCTGCTGCGCGGGGCGTGTCCAGACATTTTTGACCAGGTTGACACAAGTGACTGACTTGTGGGATGCAGGGGTGGCAGCAGTCAACATTGTTTATGGCAAAAATAACACATTCATACCACATTCAAATTACTGCATGGTTTTTGCCTAAAACTGCATGGCATCAGCATAATGTGGGCATCTCTACAAATGGGAGACTTGTATGAGGTCAAGGTATCCCTTTGAAAATGGCCATGCCAGTTTTTCCATCGCCCAAATTTTGCCTAACTTTGGAGTGTTATTTTGAAAAGTGCTAACATAACATGGTAACAATAGATGTGTTAGGTCATCAGGTTCATATGACAATAGTATCCTCACTCTAGCATTACATCTGAAGCCCCCTACAGCCTCTGAAAGATGTGCAGAGTGGGAGAGGTATGGTCAGATTTCCAGTGCCTCCCCAGGAAATGCCCCTGCCTGCTGCACAGCTACACCAGATCTTAGGGGTCCCCCACTTTCCAAATCCCACTGTAGCCCCTGGATGCAAGATGACACAGCCCATGTTACATTGTACCATGTTGTTTTTAATGGAAGACACAAAGAATATTAATTTTTCATGTCATGCAAAATTCTTGTGAGAGAACAGAAAAAATCTTGCAAAAATACGTATTTTTCCCCCCTCGTTCAGGGCTCCATACTGGGGAACTATTAACTTTGTTTAATAAGACACTATTTACACAAGGCAGCCAACTATCATGCAATATATATATCAATTAAGGGAAGGAAGCTTAACATCTGTTTTAAAATTTTAAAACGTATGTTCAGGGAACTAAATGTACATGGTAAAACATAAAATATACAGAGTGAGGTAAGTGAAAAACTCTGCTGAGACTAGGAAGCAACTGAACTGAAATAAATCCAAATTCATTTCTCGCCTTAAAGAACAAGACAGGAGATATTTTCATGAGGAAATCTTCTGTATATGTATGTGTGTGTGTGTTTGAGTGTGTGTATGTATGTGTGATGTAAAACATGAAGGCTTGTCATCCCCAGTATGTGTTTTTTCTTTGTGTTTTTTTTATTTTTCTTCACACTGCTTAGGAGTCAATGTTCCACCTGGATGAGCTCACCTTCAGATTTCATACACTGAGGAAATCCTATTTAGCTGCACACACACACACTGACACACACACACACACACAGACATGACAAGTTGTCTAGTTGGCTAACAAAAACACACTATTTTCGCACACAAACACCTCAACGAGCTGAGACACCTTAAGGGGGATATGACGTGATTACTATATTCGCACACACACATGCACGCTTCGGGCCAGACATGGCTCACGTTTATATGTGAAAATACACACCCTTATTCTCCTCACAGTAATACATGCATCCCAGACAGTAGGATGGAAAATGATTGGCAGGCGGGCATGAAACAACAAGACATGCAGACGTTAACAGCATCAACAGCAGGAGAACCATAATGGGAAGGAAAGGAGAACAAAGACTGGAGCAGATATAGATCAAACCGGAGTGTGTGATATACAGACAAGAAGCTTCCACTTTCTGTGTGTGTCTGTATGAGAGTGTGTTTGATCATGGATAATTTAACAAGCTCCACGAGCAAACTAGAGGTAATTAGAGAAACATGATAAGAACAAGGAAAATTTAAAACCTGAAATTAAGATATGAGTTAATGTATCAGTCAAACACACACACACACCAAGAAATACAAGGCAACTAATCTAATTGGTGCCTATTGAGGGTGTTTGCAGAGTATTTCCAATTATTTTATTGTTTGATTCAGTTACTAAAATCTCTCAAAACCAGTGGTTCTCATACTTTTGCAATCCCATTTAAATACCTGAAAAACTTTAACTTTTGCTGACTCACAACAACCCAGTCTCCTAGAAGAGACAAGAGGCAACATTTTTATGTGTGAATGAACCGCTAATGTATTGTAGACATATGGACATCATTCAGGGTGGTTGGCAGCCATGAAAAGGACTTGAGACCTGGGTTCGCTCCCTCAGTCCTGTGTGTGCATAGGTTTTGTTCAATTTAGGAAAAGATTAACCTTGCTAGGCAGCTGGACTTGCCAACCACAATGGTTGGAACAATCAGCGTCCTATGAAGAACTACTGCCAGTGACAGAAGTTGTTTGCAACAATGCTAAAGAGGTTAGCGTAGATGTTGCTGCCATCAGAACTGGAGAGTATTTCTTCAATGAAAGAAGAGGCAATGTATTCGCTCTTCTCCCGACAGGTTTCAGAGAGAGTTTGACAACGTAATATTGTTTGTTGATCTGTTTGGTTGAGGGTCGCAAGTGATACACTGTGACGGACAGATCGTTCATCCAATCACCTGACAAGTATATTTTGTTTCAAAACAGCTTCCGTGCAGTCTGGTTAGGAAAAGATCATAGCATTAGAAGTTTAAGACACAATGTATCGCGCTTCAGGTCACGACAGACCTTTCTGTATTAAATAAAGTGCAAAACCGCAAGCTCTCCTGTACTTCAAGTGCTGTGAGTGTATAAACATATAAAACAAAAGTGTTGAATAAAGCCTGGGTCACTATGAGCCGATATTAAGTTGGCATTCCATTTCTTTAAAACATATTTGCTGCTGCAAATGAAATTAGATGTATTTCTAGGAGACAGGGATGCTCACAATGACGTCAAAGGCTTTCAGTTTCAGTATTTTTCATTATCTTATTTGACACTTATTTGACCATGAAGGGCACAGTGTATATTACAATGTTTCTTAACCTCGTATAAGCAGCCAGGAAAATAATCATACAGCTGTATGATTCTGGGTGCAACTAGCCTACTTCTTGTTCTTGTAAGCTACAAGTATTGGCGTCTTCTTTTTATCAAATCCAGATATGTGCCATTGCCCAACCCTAATCAGCACTTTTTTTTAAATAAATATTTTTTCAATTTTGATCGCTGTACAACTGGCAAAACCATGAGCCTGAAAGCCTGTTGTGTTATTGAGACACACGTCAGCAGCAGTTATTGCACATTCAATGGGGCTTTTAACACGATTACTTCATGCTTTCTTTTTTATTTTGCTAAAATTTTATTTAAAAATAGGAAATAAATCTTTCAGCACCTTTGGTTTATCTTAAAGTAACTACTCCTCCTAACAGTGTATTCTTA